GAGGGAGGGAGGGAGGGAGGGAAAAAAGAAAAAGGAAAGAAAGAGAAAGAAAAAAGGAAAGAAAGAAAGAAAGAAGGAATTTGAATTTCATGGGGAAACAGGTTATTAGAAATATGTTTGCCACTCTTCCATGGGAATATCATTTAGTTACAAAGATAAATGCTTTGCTTGTTCCTTTTTTTAAATAAAAGTTTGAGTTTTCTGATGTATAAAATACCAAATAAAGCCATGATTTGGTGGCTTATGCCTGTAATCCTAGCTACTCAGGAGACTAAGATTGGAAGATGGTAGTTGAAAGCCAGCCCAGGCAGAAAAGTCCAAGACTTTTACTTCTAATTAACCAGCAAAAAGCTGGACATGGAGCTGTGTCTCAAGTAGTAAAGTGCTAGCCTACAGCAAGAAAAAACTAAAGGATAGGCCCAGATCCTGAGTTCAAGCACCGGTACTTACAGACACACACACACACACACACACACACACACACACACACACACACACACACACACACACACACACACACACACACACACACACACCAAAAGCTTACAATAATTTCAAACAACTAGTAAGTCCAAGTAAAGGCTACATGGGAGTTCCTTCTACTATTCTTTCAACTTTTCTATAAATTTAAAATTCAGTTGGGACTTTTGAAAGCACACCAAAAATGTACTTTTAATATATATTCCAAGCTTCCTTGACATAGTAGAGAAGAGGGTCTGGGAGGTAGAGTGTCCCTTTCTAACAAAACCTCAAGATTCTTCTATGTATTTTTGTCCATCTAACCTACTCAGTGGTTTAAAAAATAGGCCCAAAATGGATGTTGGTAACTTAGAGCATCATAGTAACTATTCAGAGAGCTACAATCCTGAGGATCATGATGTGAAGCCAGCATGGACAGAAAGTCTATGAGACTCAATTTCTCATTAACCCACACAAAGCCTGTATTCAGGTGTAGCTCAAATGGTGCTGCCAACTATGAACAAGCAAGCAAAGCAAGCTCAAGGGCCTAAGTTTCAAATTCCAGTAGTACCAAAAAATTGAAAAGAGGTCAAGCCACTTGTTGCTTACGACTACACCCTAGAACTTACGAAGGCATGACCATGTGCCAGGTATTGTAATGCCAAAGCCAAGCAGTACTGCCGGTAAGCAGTAGGCGCTCCATATATGTTTTCTAGAAATGAAAAGATGAAAAAGAATCGTACCCAGCCAGGTTGACAGCCTCAAGAGGAAGAGGAGGAAGGATAGTTCTAGGACACTGGATAGCCCTGTTTCACGAGCTTTACAAATAGGCATGCTTACAAAAAGTACCAACTTGCCTTTAGTGACCTGAGGCTCTGCTTCCTGTTACCCCCTCCCAATTCACTTCAAGTTTTGAAACAAAATCTTTTATCCATTTTTCCACTCTTGTGGGGCACAGCCCCAGTCACAACCTTAGAGAGATGATGGAGGTTTGGAGTATCGATCTTTCTCAACCTCTGAGTTTCCATGGAGCCATGTTGCTTTAAATGAAACCGTTCCAGAACAATCAGATGACATGTTTCAAATGTGTGACCCTCAGTAAAACTGTGCTTAGGAGGCCATACACGGTAAAAGAAATGTAATTTTTTTTCTTCCTAGGATTGAGAGATAAACTGTAACAGATTCTTTTTTGTCTTTCCTCCCTACTCATATTAGAAAGAATATAGGAAAGATTATGAAGAATCCATTAAAGGCAGAAATCTGACTGGCCTGGAGGTCACGCCAGCTTTATTACATGTCAAATACGCAACCAAAATAGCAAGCGAGGTAGTGGCCGCTTGGTCTTTTCTTCTCCTCTTGATCCAAATAATGACACTAATGACACTTAACAGTGTGTTCCTGCTGCCGTTTCCACCACCTCCTCTTCACATGTTTGGTTCTTCCACCTAATCTATCACCCCTCTTAATTCTTCTAATTGTTGAATAGATTACCTCTAATAAAAATGTGCTTATTTTAGCATTCCATTCACTCCTAGTCTTTTATTTAATACTTAATATTAACTGGTCAAGCCTATACCCTGCCTTTATTCATCTTTACTTACTCAACCATTAGCTGTTAAAAATTGGAAGGGTTGTTTTGTTTTGGGGGGGAGTTTTTTAACTCTTCACCTAAGAAAACAACGCAGACTCTCTTGTCAGTGCTGTTGCTTTTACTTTGTGGTATAGAAAGAGTACAGGAAAGATCTAGAGGAAAGCATCCGTGGGAGGGGTCTCACTGAAATGGAAGATACTCCTGACATGCTACGAGCAAAGAACGCCACTCAGATCCTAAATGAGGTGAGACCATAGCCAAATGCATGAACATAGTTATTAGGGTTTCGTCTTCCCACCCAAGTCACAGGAACAGAGAGAAATAGAGGCTTTTTGAATTCCAAGTTGGATATGCACCATAATTATTAGCCATTTAATAAAATGTATGTCCGTTTCCAAGGAGAATTAGTATGTCCCATAGTGGTTATCACAACCAATTATTTACCTGTATGAATTAGCCTAGACAGATTTGGTATGTGGCTTTAAATTAAAACATCATATGATACTGGAGTGGTATGACATTAATCCTAATGTGTACCAAGCCAGATCTGATTTCAGCTTTAACTTTGCAAATAGAGAATTAAAAAGGCCTTCAAAAGGAAGATTTACATTGGTCCACACTGACAAAGCAGAATGATGTTCCCACAATGACCCCTAAACTCCATCTTTTACATGGACTGGTGAAAGTACCATGATGCTTGAGGTGATACGTTATTTGAATCTGTATCCACTCCGGTGCAGGTACCATCTACTAGTAGAAGTTGAGTGACTTTTTTTTTTTATAATTCTTCTATAGAAAGAATATAAGCGAGACCTGGAGCTCGAAGTCAAAGGAAGGGGCCTGAATGCCATGGCCAATGAAACTCCAGATTTTATGCGGGCCAGGAATGCTACTGACATTGCCAGTCAGGTCAGTTTTTCTGTTCCATGTCAATCTTTCAAAAATGTAGTTGTGATTAGAAAGTCATAATGGACATTGTCATCTTGTTTATAAGTGGCAGTCAAATGCACATAGTGGCATTCTTGAACATCTTCCTGTTTCTTGGTCAATCTTCTTGTTTACACAAAGAATTCTTCAATTAGTATATTTGGGAAATTCTTTCTTTCTCTGCTTTCAAGACCTACATTTAACACATCTTTTACAAATCCAGTATTAAGTGGTATGCGGGTCTTATATCTTACCTCTTATTCGGCCAGCCTTTTGTAAAAAAAAAAAATCCATGTTTTACTATCAATTATGTCCTTAACATTACTAAAGCCTACATTGAACTAGACAGTAAGTCTGAACAATTAAGACCATCTTTTGGACTCTCATTCTTTAATATAAAGCTATAAACATAATAGGAACAAATGTCTGTTAAATGTCCAATGAATGAGTCCATCTTGCAAAAAAGCACTATTGATTACCTGTTTTAATCAAACCAAGCACTTACCCAACTGCCGGTCTCCTTCTACAGATTAAATATAAGCAATCAGCAGAAATGGAAAAAGCCAATTTTACTTCTGTGGTTGACACTCCAGAGATCATTCATGCCCAACAAGTCAAGAACCTTTCAAGCCAGGTAAGAACATTGATCAGACTGTCTTTTCATATGCCCCAATCAAACTTAACAAAAGTATTTCTGTTAATACTTAAAGAGACTTTTTTTAAGGAGACTTTTTAAAAGTCACAATTTCTCCCATTTGAACAGAAAAGCTTTACCTCTGATATAGGATTACAGCAGAGTTTTCTGTTAAGATTTAATATATTAACAAAGGGCTAGGGATGGATGACAGTAGTAAGGTTACAAAGCCTTGGTTTGGTCTTAGGTACTGGAGGAAAAACATCTGAAAAATTATAAAGGATGTGGGTGGGAGCAGGAGGGAGAAACTGGGAGAGAAGGGATGACATTGTCCAAAAAGAAATTCATTACCTGACTTATGAAACTGTAACCCCACTGTACATCACCTTTATCATAATATATTGTTATATGTTATACATAGTTATTATATATAATTATGAAGGGTCTTGAAAATATTGAAAACTTCTTACATGGTACAATTCATAATTAATACATCAATATTGTAACATGTAAAATATCTTACTATGCGTATGTGGGAGAGCCAGGGAGGCCAGCACACTTTGGGCTGCTAGAGCCTCAGAATGGCTTGGGAGGGATTAGTCATGTGACTCTTTGGGGGCTCTCTCTGGCTGGTGCTTCAAAACCTAAGATCTGACCAGGTTATTTCCTGCTCAATAACTAAAGTGCAGTGTATACCTTATAACTTCTGAACTTCTTACTTGGGAATTAAGACAAATAGTGCAAGCTCACTCACAAATTCAGGGTATAATATTAAGTGTTTTTAATGCCAAGGAAATTCAGGGCCTTTCTTCCTCAAATACTTTGTTTCATGTTCCATGTGCAAATAGATTGGTCAGAGACCAAAATTATCTCTGTAAAACTAGAGTTGCAAACCAGGTGAGCAGCTTTTATTTAACCTTTAAAAATTAAAAATAAAAACCAAGAGAACTGCTTATTTTCATTTCCCAGGAAAATGAGGGATCTTTTTTCATATATGCTTGGGTAAATAAGAAAAGTTAGTCAGGGGACTTCTCCTGAACAAAGCATCTGTTTCTGAACTGCCTGTTCTCCCAGAAACTTATATTTTAATTGCATCCCAATTAGGTTTTTTTTAAAACTAGGACATTTCTTTTATGGCTAGAGAAGCTGAGCATTTCTTCATGTGTCTATTGGCCATTCTTATTTCCTCTTCAGAGAAGTCTCTTAGTCTTTAGCCCACTTATTAATCAGGCAGTTGTTTGAGGATTTGTTGTTGGGGGATTTAATTCTTTTGAGTTCTAAGTATAGTTTAGATATGAGACCTTTGTCCATTGCATGGCTAGTCAAGATCTTCTCCCAGTCTGTGGGCTTTCTATTGATCTTGCTCACTATGTCCTTTGCCATGTAGAAGCTCCACAGTTTCATGCAATCCCATTTGTCCAACCTTTCTTTGATTTGTTGTGTTTCTGGGTCTCTATTAAGAAATTTTCAGCCTGTGCCAAGGAGACCTAGGGTTTCTCCCATTCCTTCCTGTAATGTTTTCAGGGTGTCTGCTTTTATTTCGAGGTCTCTGATCCATTTGGAGTTGATTCTGGTGCAGGGTGATCTATAGGGATCTAGCTTTAGTTTTCTACAGGTGTTTAACCAATTTTGCCAGCACCATTTACTGAAAGGCTGTCTTTCTTCCATTCTATTGTTTTAGCTCCCTTGTCACAGATTAGTTCTCAGGGCTGTTCTCGTGCCAGTACCAGGCAGCTTTGATTACTACTGTTTTGTAGTAGAGTTTGAAATTTGGTATTGATATTCCTCCAACACTGTTCTTTCTACTAAGGATTGTTTTTGCTATTCGGGGTCTTTTATTGTTCCATATGAATTTTTGGATTGCTTCTTCTATTTCATTGAAGAATGATGTTGGGATATTTATAGGTATGGTATTGAATTTGTATATAGCCTTTGGCAGTATTGCCATTTCCATGATGTTAATCCTCCCTGTCCAGGAGCATGGGAGGTTTTTCCACTTCCTTAGTTCTGCTTTAATTGCCTTTTTCAGGTTTTAAAAGTCTTCATCATAGAGGTCCTTCACCTCTTTAGTTAACTCCTAGGTATTTTATTTTTTTGTGGGGCTATTACAAAAGGGGTTGCTCTCCTAATTTCAGCTTTGCTCTTATCATTATTGGCATACAGGAAAGTCATTGATTTCTGAGGGTTAATTTTATACCCTGCTACTTTACCAAAGTTTCTGATCAGTTCAAGACAACATTGAGATTCCACCTTAGTCCAGTTACAATGGCTATAATCAAGAAACCTAGTAACAACAGATGCTGAGGGGATGTGGCCAAAAGGAAACCCTACTGCATTGTTGGTGAGGGTAAAATTGTTCAACCACTTTGAAAAGTAGTATGGAGGTTCCTCAAAAGACTACACATAGAGCTCCCTATGACCCAGCAATCCCACTTTAGGGCATTTACCCAAATGATCACAAACAAGGTCATACCAAAGCTACCAGCACAACCATGTTTATCGCAGTATTATTCATCATAGCTAAGATATGGAACCAATCCAGATGCCCCTCAGTAGATAAATGGATCAAGAAAATGTGGTACATTTATACAATGGAATTCTATGCCTCTATCAGAAAGAATGACATTGCCCCATTTGTTAAGAAATGGAAAGACAACTTGGAAAAAATTATATTAAGTGAAGTAAGCCGGGCCCAAAGAAACATAGACCCCATGGTTTCCCTTGTTTGCAATGACTAGTACATGTCTAGGACAAGCAGAGAAGGTCAAAGGCTTTGTACATGTGACCATATAAAATGATGTTAAGCAAGTGGTTTTTTTCTTTCTTGCTACTGTTTTTAATGTACTTAATGTACTTAATCACTATGTGATTCTTTTGTTTCTTTTGTATGTTGTTTCGCCATGATATAACCCCTGTTTTCACTGTATTTGATTCTGGTGTTCTGCATCTTGTATATACATTTTTGTAATTTGGGGAGAGGAAGGGATATAGTGGAATGCATAAATGGAGATGCAGGTTGACCCACTGTGACAATGAGATGTACAGGACACTATGTTGGAAATGAACTTTACAATGGGGGAGGGGGAATGGGGAGGGATGGGAAGGGAGGAGTTGGGAAAGTGGGAAGGAAAGGGATAGTAGTGGAAAAAACAAAGGAGGAAGTAACAATCCTCAATAGGAAATGTACTCTACCCTACTCATGTAACATAACCCCTCTGTACATTATTTTTACAATAAAAAATACATTAAAAAAAACTAGGACAAACTCTCATTGGCTGAAACTGTATCACTTTCAGTGTTTAGCCTGGTGTCCATGGCTCATGACTGTAATCCTAGTCATTCAGGAGACTGAGATCTGAGAATCACAGTTGTAAGCAAGGCTGGCAGGAAAGTCTATGAGACTCTTATCTCCAATTAACCACTAAAAGGCCAAAAGTAGAGCTGTGGCTCAAGCAGTAGAGTGCAAGCCTTAAGCAAAAAAAAACAAAGAGATGGTACCCAGGCCCTGAGTTCAAGAACACTACACACACACAAAAATGTATAAATATAATTCATATAACTCAACTTAGATATAAACAGCTTATTTTACCCCATTATAAAAAAAGTGACTAGTCTCTTTCCTCCTCAGTCCTATTTACCCAAACTTCCTTGAAAAGTAGGAGAAAGCCAAACTAGAGACAAAAGCAAAAGGACACAGTAACAAACAATAAAAGGAAAACATGGCTGAGGTCCAGTAAGTGTTCTGCAGAGAATAACTAAAGTCTAGGGATGGCATTGGCTGTGTATATGTCCAGGAAAAGAGCAGCCCATCTGTACATTTCTTGCTTGTCAAAGACTATTGTGATTTGGGAAAGCCAAAGGAAACTGCTGGTTCAGACCAATGTCTTGATCAGTGTGTTAGCCACAGTAGAAGCAGCCTCCTGTCCCATCAGGCAGGTTTCCACAGCTCCAGAGCCATGATCTGGAAACAAATTCTGTGTCTGTTCAATCGGATAGCCAGGAACCCTGAACTCACCTGTTTAAAGTTCAGTGAAAATCTCCGTGCCACCAGTTAGACTGCTAACCTTCCTACTTCTATCCTCTTGTCTGGCTCCTGGCAGTGATAGGTAGGGCAACGGCAGACTTCTCCATCTCCCCTTCAGTTCACCTGGAAAGAACAGACATGGCCCTAAGATGTAGAAAACCTTTCTCTAACTGAGCTGAAAGGACTATTTTAGGTTATTGGCCCATATCCCTTTGGTGGCCACCCTCCTTAATTTCTTGGGATCTATTTTCAGAAAAAATACAAGGAAGATGCTGAGAAGTCCATGTCATATTATGAGACTGTTTTGGACACTCCAGAGATGCAGAGAGTCCGGGAGAACCAAAAGAATTTCAGCCTTGTAAGTTTTTAGCGCTAAGTTATTAGCTCTTAAGCAAAACACTTAGAGTGGGTCAGGCAGGCTAACAGGAAGTGTCTCTGCACACATACACTGGGGCATTCTTCCATCTTTTTGGGTGCTGTTGAGTGGCCCTTCGCAACTCCACCCTTGCCTTGAGGAATGTGTACTTGGTTCTTTTCTGGGATCGCTTTATATTTCCATCCCAAGCCCTAGTGTGAAGTCCATCTGTTCCTTGGTGGGTGGCTTCCTGTCATGGAAAATGAACTCTTATGCTTCCATTACTTAAAGTAGGTAAAATGATGCTTTAAAATAAAAGACCAGTGTTACACATTTCAAAGTTTTTAAATTTAGTTTCTGTGGCTGGGTCTATATGCAGCACAGGAGCGGAACATGTGCTTGGCATGTGGGAAGACACTGGATTCAGTCTCCAGCAATTCTCCCCACCACCTCCAACAACTAGCTTCCCCACAAAATTCTAAATGAAGAATCTGGCCATCAGACTGTGATTAGTGTGGCATCAACTTTTTTCCTTAGTGAAGGATTTTAGCTGCCTTTACGCAATATAGAACGATTAAAATATATAAACAGTGTTGAAATTGTAACAAGACATGTATTTATTACTCTTTCTTCATAGCTCCAATACCAGTGTGACCTTAAAAACAGTAAAGGAAAAATTACAGTTGTTCAAGACACGCCAGAAATACTGCGTGTTAAAGAAAATCAAAAGAATTTCAGCTCGGTATATTATTTATTTTCAATGTAATGCTAACCTAATAATTTCATTCTCCTCTTTTTAAAAAGTACACTGGTCTAACATTGGCACAGACCTTTAACATCTAACCTCCCCAGTTAATACTAGTGGCTACTTGTTCAAATTCCCCTTCTTTGTTCCAAAATCATCACTCCAGAAACCATTCAAAATAATAACAAGTCTTCTAACAAAATAACTTTTCTTCCTTTCTCAGTTTTTTAATCCTAGAACAATAATATATGTTGTCTTGTTCCAAGAAGGTGGATTTCTTTTTGGCAGTGTGGTTTCTTTTATTTTCCCTACCCCAAGTAACTGAATGACTTTGCATTTTTAATGGTTTTTTTGTGGTTGTTAATCAACATCCTTTTTTTTCTCATCCAGTATTAATATGCTATGATAATCTTAAATCTCATCAACATCTTCTTTTTCTCATCCTGTATTAATATAGTATGATAATTGTAAATGAAATCTCAAGATATGGAAAGTGATTGGTGGAATAATAGATGGTTTGATGGAGAAGAAGTCAGATGATACTCGGGCTTTTGCCTGAGAACACTATCTAGTGTCCTTTGTTTTCACAGAAGCCATTGGGTTCTCGGGGAATGTGTCCTAATCTTTCCCCAGGAATTGCTGGGGTTCTCTTCCTTCTCTGTAACACTGTTCTGATTCTGAATGGCCAGGTTTTATATAAGGAGGATGTCTCACCAGGAACAGCAATTGGAAAGACACCGGAGATGATGAGAGTGAAGCAAACACAGGACCACATCAGTGCGGTAAGGCGCTGTGACTCACTCTGTATACCTCTGCCACCATGTGGTAATAATTTGCAATGACCTCTGAGTTACACCCACAAGGTTTGTCACAAAACCAGCTTACATTCTAAAAGAGGCACCTGCTAACTGTCTCACCATATCTTATGTACCAGTAATTACACTCATCTCATGCTTATAGTTCTGTGGCAGTTTTCAGTTCTGTCAGCTATGGAAATCAGGCTTTTGAGAAATTGGAATGTTAGTCAAAGGATCAGTCTTCCTAGAGAGACGTGAATATATCTATCCTAATCAAATGAATACTTGTATAAAGTAGTCCTCTCTTATCCACAATTTTACTTTCTATGTTTTCATTTAGCACCCAACCTTGATCCAAAAATATTAAAAGGAAAAAATCTATCAATACATATGTTTTAAATTGTGCGCCATTCTGAGTACAGCGAATGAAATCTCATGAAATGTTATGGCTTCCCACTCTGTGGCAGTGGGGACATGAATTATTCCTTCTCCAGCATCTTCATACTGTCTAGGTCACCTGTGCTCACTAGTTGTCCCATTACCACATCACTGTCTCAGTTCTGTTCTTTCCTTCTTTCTTTCTTTCTTTCTTTCTTTCTTTCTTTCTTTCTTTCTTTCTTTCTTTCTTTCTTTTTCTTTTTGCTGCAAGATCAGGACTTGAACCTGGTACACTTTGCTTATTGGTTGGCACTCTACTTAACTGAGCCATTCCTCCAACTCCAGTTCTGTAGTATTTGTAGTATGTTTTGGGGTTTTCTGTGTAGTCCAAGCTGGTAAGGTAGGCTGGTTGGAACTTATAATCCTCTGCCTCAGCTTTTCACATGCTCGAAAAACAGACATTGCCTCAGTTGTCCTTATTTTATTTTAAAATGGCCCCAAAATGCAAGACAGTGATGTTAGCAGGTCAGTTATGCCAAAGAGAAGCTAAACATGGTGTTTCCATTAAGTGAATGTTCTCCATTTAGAGGAGGTTGCTAAGATGTGTAGTAGAATGAATCTCCTGTCCATGTAGTAGTAAAAAGGGAGAAAAAAATTGAGCTTGTTGTGGTGTCATACTTCAAACTTCAAAGATATAGCCACAGTATGTGGTAATTGCTAAAATGAAAAAGGCAAGAAATATGCATATGTGCAACAATAGCAGGAATAAGTATATGGGGTTGGTAATGTAGATGAATTTTAGGCATCCACAGGACCACTGCAGATAGAAAAGATTGAGGATAACAGTCTAAGGAGGGGCCACTTTCCCTCCCCCAAAGAGGCAAGAGGGTGACTAAGTATCGACAGATACTCAAGAACAGAATATGGCCCCCTCCAAACTAAGTATAGAGCTGGTATTATCTAAACTGTGGTTAACTGCAGACAAGCTGGGATTGTGGCTTATTGGTAGAATATGTACTTAGAATGCACCAGTCCCTGGGGTCAATCCTCAGTATAATCCCCCACCAAAGTTAGGCCTACTAATCAAATACATGTTGTAAAAAACAACTACTCACCATGTAATAATACGTTTCTCTTTTTATTTAGGTGAAGTATAAAGAAGCAATTGGACAAGGAACTCCAATCCCTGACCTGCCTGAAGTAAAACGTGTCAAGGAGACCCAGAAGCACATTAGCTCGGTATGATTAGCCCCCCGCCTCTCAACTGCTACCCAGTTTCATTCATCCTTTCTTCCATGGGACTCTTATTCTTTTGGGGAAGCTACAAATCTACCTAGGTATTGAAGGGAATACTATCTACTGCAAAAGTAGATAGGAAACCCACCCGAATCATATTAAGATCTCATTCCCTCTTCAGTCTCAATTTATACTCTGGAGTCTTTTGAAGTTTGTTGTCCACTAATATGTGGGAAATAGCACATAGCTACTATGCTACTTAGCATTGCCACTTCTTCTGTTTTGTTCTGTTGTTCATGATCTGTCCTGATGCCTTGCTGGGTTAAAAGGAAGAAAATAACTCTGTTGCCAAGATGAGAGATTTTTAATGATCCCTAAATGTTTCCTGACAAAACAAAAAAGTCACATTTAGCTTGTGACTGAATCTAGGATGCAAACCTATTTCTGATGCAAACCTGTAGGTTATTGTGTTGTTCACCATCCCCATGCAGTAGTACCCCATAGAATCCATTCATTTAGGCTGAAAGTCTAACAGTAAGAGGGAAGAAAGGAAGCAAGAAGCCAATAAAGTAAAGGTTTTCTACTTTCTCTCCACACACACACACACACACACACACACACGCACACACACATCTATCTATATCCATAGATATAGATATCTTTATATATATATAAAGATATATATACATATGTATATGTATTATACATATGCTAATATTCAATTAGTGTAGAATAGAGTATCACATGTCTAAGAAATTATAAAACAAGCAAGCCATTTCTCGAGTACATTCTTGAGTACTTAGTGTATGCACTAAGTAAGTACTGGCTATAGAAAATACAATTTGTGGGGCTGCGAAGGTGGCTCAATGGTAGAGTGCTTGCTTTGCATGCATGAGGCCCTGGGTTCCATTCCTCAGCACCACATAAGCAGAAAAAACCAGAAGTGGCACTGTGGCTCAAGTGGTAGAGTGCTAGCCTTGAGCTGAAGAGCTGAGGGACAGCGCCCAGGCCCAGAGTTCAGGCCCCACAACTAACCAAAAAAAAAAAAAAAATACAATTTGTACTTCGTTTCCAAGTTGGTAAAATTACTATTTTGAAGAGAACAAATGTGGAATTTCTTTCCCTTAGTTTTTGAGTATCATATTTGAAAGCTACACTCAACTGTTGTTGTGAGACTCACCATCTGGCCCAGATAGCTATGTAATCTAAAGGATTTATGGTTATTTTGCCTCCTGGGCTATTCTAATTATTTTCTACAGGTTATGTACAAGGAAAATTTGGGAACAGGCATTCCAACCACTGTTACTCCAGAGATTGAGAGAGTCAAACGCAATCAAGAAAACTTTAGCTCGGTATTTATAAATATATCAAATAAACTATTCCCAGTCTTTAAAAAAACTACCAGAATAATCTATCATCCTGTTTAAAAAGTAACCTCTTAACAATAGATTCTGTGTGTCTGTGTGTATCATAATCTGACCCAAACCCACCTGAATTAATACAGAATGACCCACTCTTCCAACTAGTTTGAGTGCTTAGGTCTGAAATACTTAAGTAGCATTAACATAAAATTCTTCAGTATACTCATCTATAACTCCATTATGCTGTCTATTACACTTTCCACTCAAGAATTAGTTCATCCTTAAAAATCCCCAAATCCAAATTCTTACTAAATATTACTTACTAAAAACATTTTTCACCCAACCCTCTCCTTTCCTCAAGTTTCTATGCTCGTTTTGAATGTCTTTTGGGTACTTTCTTGTATCTCACAGGTTTTATACAAAGAAAACTTGGGGAAAGGAACCCCTACAATTATCACTCCAGAGATTGAGAGAGTCAAACGCAATCAAGAGAACTTTAGCTCGGTATTTCTTAGAAGTGAAAAACAATTTTTAAAGTCATTTAATTCTTATTAAAATAATATCTTAACATTTAAAATTACTAAATTCAAATAATGAATGAGATCAAGCATTTCTAAGTTTTCAACTCAAATCTAATTTAGTATTTACTTTTAGTGTTGGTGTGAAATTTTAATTATATTTTTCTAAAATATAGATATTTTATCACTTTCCTTAACTCATAAAACTATTTCCTTCCTCCACTTCTTCTGTAATAAGAGGTGTCTTTAACTGGTGTGACACAAATCAAAAGTAAAATTTCTAACACCTATTTCAAAAGAACAGTGCGAATCAGAATTTCAGTTGTATTTATTGTGGATGTTTGCTATATTTTTTGTCTTTACAGCTATCCTTAAAAGATTACAATGCTTAAACATTTTCATTCAAAGACAACTCAGTAACTCAGAAATAGATATACTTTTCTGAGCTTCTGTGCTACTTTTTTACATCATGCTAGATATGTGATCTTTCCTTTGTACTATATTCAGGATCGTTGAAAATTAAGCTAATATTTAGCTTTCAGAACCTTAATAAGTTCAGCTCCCTAAGTCTCAACCTTTTTTTTCTAATTTAGTGTTACCAACAACTGATCATAGATATTAATTTAGCTTACATACTAGTTGATAAGACCTAACAGTTGTATCTGAGAAATGGCATTTATAAATCAAGACACTGTGTATCCCTTGATGCCACAGACATTGTAATATGCAAATGTACAAAATGCACTCTTTTGAAAAGTTCTGTTTTATATCATTGTAAAAACAAATATGTTTAGACTCTTTTTTAGGATGAAGTATATGTAAAAGATTTGTCTAGACTAATTTGATTGTTGGTTTTATGCACACAGATATTGTACAAAGAGAACTTGAGCAAGGGGACCCCCTTGCCAGTCACTCCTGAGATGGAGCGAGTCAAACGCAATCAAGAAAACTTTAGCTCGGTATTGGGAGAAAGTTCCTTTAACTACATATTAATTTCTATAAAACAAAACTTCCCTTTATAATAATTTAACAAATTCTTTAAAAACAAAGCAAAAAAACCCTCACCAACTCAATCCCGTTTTCTGGATCTTTTACTCACCATTTGAATCTAATGCTTCATGCTTTCTATAATTGTCCCTAATAGTCCCTTAAATGTTTCACTGGTTCCTTTATTTCACTCTTATGTCACTGCTGGCACTTTTGACGCTAACTGATTTCCAAACACCACCCAAACACTTAAGCTTTTACTTAATTGGAACTCTTACCTGATGTCTCTGGGTTAGTGTACAAGGAACCAGAAGCCACCTGTGGGGATGATGCCTCTTGCTTTGGAACAATAGTGACCTTGACATAGATCCTATCTGGATAAATAACGCCTAGAAAGAAAATTGCCCAGTTCTGGAACCAAAAGCATTTTACCATTTCATGAATAGAAATCTAGGCCTTCTGATTTGTTTTAAGGAGAGGACTTTTTTGAGGCAGGAGCTCACTAGCCCAAGTTGCACTCATATTGACAAACTAGCCTCCTGCTTTGACTTTCCAATGCTGGGCTTATAGTATACACCATTGTGCGTAGTTTTGATTTCTTAAAATATACAGAGTAGTGGAGACTCTATCTCCAATAAACTACCAAAAAGCTGGAAGTGGGGCTGTAGCTCAAGTAGTAGAGCATTAGTTTTGAGTAAAAAGCAGCTCAGGGACATCGCCCATGATATGAGATCAAGTCCCCAGACTGGCCCAAAAAAAGATATAGATAGATAGATAGATAGATAGATAGATAGATAGATAGATAGATAGATAGATAGACAGACAGACAGGCAGGCAGGCAGGCAGGCAGGCAGGCAGGCAGACAGACATAGATAGATATAGATCACACTATGCATTTATACTTAATCATATTTTCTCATTTCTTAATTGCTGTTCCAAATAGTCCATGATACTTTTACATAAGGTTCATAGGCCCATTTATGCCAGTGATAGAGACTCAAATGTCTTTAGGAAAATTTAACTAGATCTGTTTTAATTTTGTTTGACTGTTTTTTTAGAAGTTTGATTCTTTGACATAATTAAATTAGTAACCTTTTTGTTTTATTTTTAATTACTATTTACTAACAACTCATGACCTTTCAATTTTGTTAAATTTTCAATGTACTTTAGTATATCTTTTGAAGTATTTAATTTTCTGGTTTCCCCCTGCAGTTTTACTATCATTATTCCTTCTTTAAAGGCATGCATCAATTTTCACAACTATGTTTTAGTTATTTCTTGTTTGAATTCCATTTGAAACTAGTAATCCTGGAATTTGTTTTTAAAGTAACCATTCATGTTAATGTTACACAGGTTGCATTAAGTGAAGCTGTCCATGGTGCCAAACTTTGTGGATAATACCACATATTAAAACACCAACTTGCAGACTATCTGTATAGTCTAAACAGAGACCAGTTTTGCCAAAGTGTGCAGATTCGGTCTGTAGTTTTAAATGTTAGACTCTAAGGCAAACATTCTATGTAAGAAAAGTATTTATTGACTTAATTTTAAAAGACTCTATTGTACACTGAATAGAAAATGTAAGACATGTAACTTTTCCATTCTTATGAGAATATTTTACCAACTTTTATAAAGTTACTTGTATTCTCGTCTGTTTCCTGACAGGAAATAAACATGTCTTTGTTTATGGGTAAAGAGTTAAGCATCCAATGCCCTGGCCTCAGTGTGCACTCACCCTAGCCTGCTGCACAGAGCAGTGAATTTATCTTTCCTGTTTCATGTGTGTTGTCTCATCACAGTCTCCCTATGTCTTTTCTGTTGTGTTTTTTTTTCTGGATGCTTTCTTGTGTCATACAGGTGTTATATAAAGAGAACCTCGGCAAAGGGATTCCAATCCCCATCACTCCAGAGATGGAGAGAGTCAAACACAATCAAGAAAACTTTAGTTCGGTATTTAAAAGAAATCCCCTTCGCTATTTTTTAAATGGCTAGATTTTTTAAAAATCTAATCAACTTATCCCAATTAAAACTTTGACCACCTTGTTCCCAAATTAATACTGCCATTTCCTACATACTTTGGCTAAACCTTAATCTGATGGTTGATTTAATATTTAAAATATGTTCAGTAATCTATTCCTACTTTGAAAGACATAACATTCTCAGTGTATAAGCATCAATGTTTATCTTACCATGGCAAGTTTAATCTGAACAGGAGCTTTAAAGAGATCTGGGAAGATCTCTTGGCCTCATTTCCTATTCTAATCTGCTTTGGTACTTGTATAGATATTTTAAAGTTTCTCTCTTTAGTATGTGTCCTTTTCTAATTGCCTTAAAAATAATTTTTCCTACCACCTTCACCCGAACTAAAAATTCATTATTTTGACTTATTTTAGAAGTCAACAAAAGACTTGTGTATGTTATCTTCCTATTTATATCTATAAAACCCAAACATCCTTATGTGGTTTATTAATAGCATTTCCAAATCAAAAATCTGTTTCCATCTCTCCCTTCCCCAATAACAAGATGAGGATGACTAATTTCTCCTTTTCCTGGTGTTCGTTGCTCAGTTCTGTACAGATTAGGTCAAATAAGAATAATAACAAAACTTCCTCTTCATATTTTTTAGTTTTTGCTGTTCTTTCCTGCATTCCTTTGTTTTTAAACTTGTACAGGTTGAACCTAAAAGCTTCTGTGATTTCCTTTCTCTAACTCATTATCTTCCTCCACCCTTCCACTCCCAATCACTGCAAAGATGAGGGTCTCAATGATTGATTGCTTTTGTTCTGGGTGCTTACTTCCTGTACAGGTGCTATACAAAGAAAACCTGGGGACAGGAATTCCAATCCCTATCACTCCTGAGATGCAGAGAGTCAAACACAATCAAGAAAATCTTAGCTCGGTATTTTAGAAATAAAGGGGGAGAAAGATGCCATTTAATTTCATAATTGAACTGATCATTTTAAAACCCTCTTCCCTTTCTTTGCTTCTAATGTATCTTACTTTGCAAAAAGACATCTTCTCCTTTCTATAATATAGTTAATTTTGGCATTTTTACTTCATATTTTTTAAACTTAAAAAGTAAAATAACAAATGATTTAGTTTGTGTGGATAATGAGACACGAGTTCTAACCACTGACATCCCTGCATTGCTTAGGAGTCAACCTACTCAAAGAAGCAGAAAAAAAGTATTGATAACTTTCAGCTTTCTCCCACCCAGCAGCTGAGGTTCTTGCTTCCTGGAGGGTGCAGCTTTCCCAACCCAATAACAGCTATCACTAAAGTATCTTGTCTGGCTCCCTGGATTACTACTGTTTTGGGCCTTATACTTCAAACTTCACAGTAAAATGGAACATCACTTACGGTATCTCTCCGATGCTTTCTCATCGTGCAGGTGTTATACAAAGAAAACATGGGCAAGGGCACCCCTTTACCTGTCACTCCAGAGATGGAGAGAGTCAAACACAATCAAGAAAATATTAGCTCGGTACTCTGGCAGAAAAAAAAATGTGTTTTTTAAATAATTTTAAAACACTACTTCAATGATTTAAAATAATACATATTAATCCTAGTTTTTTTAAAGACAACTGTTTTAAAGACAACTGCTGTTCCCTAGCCTTAACTCTTGTAATAACAAAATTGTTTTCATCTTTAACAAAGTTCTAATATCAAGAAGTAACAGATTTTCCTATAAAACATTCTCTTGTTCATCTCTCTCCAAGGTTAACTCTCTACTCCCAAGGTCTCTTTGTTTTCCATGAAAAATTTGGGGTGAGCTTGTGTGGGGTGGTGTAGCAGGTATAATGGACTCTTTCTTGAGTATTAGAATCATGATGTCATGTTGATGACTTTGGGTTCTAATCTACACTGCACTGTCAGGTTTTTCTATTGGCATTGTTATTGTTTTATAATGCTGAAGATCAAATTCAGCACTAACTACTGAACTATATCCTTAGCCCCACACTGTGAGAGTTAGACAAAGAAACCTTGGGGAAAATAACTCCTATCTCTCCTTCATGAATAATGACATAACTTCTGATCCAGTAGTGTTTTTGGCAATTGTCAATTTAAAAACTGGAGTGTCTCAGAAAAGGTCTTTTGTGTTACCCTTTCATCTTTGTCATGGTCTTTAAATGCTAATAGTAAATAGGTCCTGTAAGCTTTTACCCTATGCTAGTGTGTATATGTGTATATGAACTACCATAGGGCTAGGGTCTGTGTCAGCATTACACCAGGTACAGATTTCTCCAGTCCTAAGTCCAGTGTTTCTAACACATAAGTATGCAGCAGAACCATCTGGAGGTTTGTTCAACCAGACTGCTAGGTGTATGACCCCATGTTTCTCCTTTAGCAACTGTGGCATAAGACCAGAGAATTTGGGCTGGGAAGGTGGCTCAGTGGTAGAGCACTTCCCTTGCATGCTCAAGGCCCTGGGTTCGATTCCTCAGCACCACATAAGAAAAAAACCGGAAGTGGCACTGTGGCTCAAGTGGTAGAGTGCTAGCCTTGAGCTGAAGAGCTGAGGGACAGCGCCCAGGCCCAGAGTTCAGGCCCCACAACTGGACCAAAAAAAAAAAAAAAAGACCAGAGAATTTGTATTTCTAAGTTCTCAAGTGATCCTGGCCAAAGCTGACTCTGCTTTGAGAACCACTGCCACACCAGAATTTTTGTTAAATGCCAGTTTTTCAAACCTCCCAGGTTCCTCAGAATGAAAATGAAGGGGGACATTGGGTTCAAGAATTTACCATGATGGGCTGGGAAGGTGGCTCAGTGGTAGAGAGCTTGCCTTGCATGCCTGAGGCCCTGAGTCCGATTCCTCAGCACCACATAAGCAAAAAGAAAAAAGCTGGAAGTGACGCTGTGGCCCAAGTGGTAGAGTGCTAGCCTTGAGCTGAAGAGCTGAGGGACAGCACCCAGGCCCAGAGTTCAGGCCCCACGACCAGACCCCCCCCCAAAAAAAGAATTTACCATGATGCGGTGCTGTGCTTTCTATGATTTACCATAGGGATGTGACTTCTGAAAGCATTTGTTTTTATTGTGATATACTAAACAAATTCACAAGGGAGTATACAAGGTATAGAAAGAAAAAAGGAGTCCTTTGCCTTGTCTGAGGGCCTACAATTTTACTGAGATGTCTATAAGAGTTTATGGTCTGTAGACAAGGCCAGTAACTAGCTGCTGTATTGGACCTGTTTCAACCTCAGTAATTCCGGATCTGATGATTTGTCCAAGAGACTGACATTCATATACTAAACAGTAAATTTGTTCTTTCTGGGAACAGTGCAGATCCCCCTTGAAATCTGTAAAAATCTCAGGGTTAGGGCTCTACCCTGTAAACAAGTATCTTACTGTAACTACAATCAAATTTCTTACTAGTCTTCATCTAACCTTATTTGCCTAGATGATATGATATTCTAAGTCTCATAAAAATTATCTGTTCCATTTCTTATTTTGATAACTATAATCCCTTTTCCTTTTTCTTTTGGGCTTATTGGATCCGTTGGACTCACTTAGGTTTTGTACAAAGAAAATGTGGGGAAAGCCACCCCAACCCCTGTCACTCCAGAGATGCAGAGAGTCAAACGCAATCAAGAAAACATTAGCTCGGTATTGTCTTCAGAAACAAAAATGCTTTTTACAGTAACCCCTGCAGTTTGGCCTGCTCCTAACCCCATCCAAGGTTTAAAGATTCTGTTCAATTTGAATCGCCTCTAAATACCATACCACATTTATGATTGGCATTAACGCTTTTTTCTTGAGAGCTGCTCTCACTAATAGTAATAGATGAAACCTAATGTTTCCCTTCCTCTGATTGCCTTATATTTAATAGTGACTATTGCTTCCTAGTGACTTTCTGGTACAACTTTATATCTCACAGGTGCTATACAAAGAGAATATGGGGAAAGCAACCCCCACACCTTTTACTCCTGAGATGGAAAGAGTCAAACGCAATCAAGAAAACTTTAGCTCGGTATTTCAGAGAGGAAAAAAAAATCATTAAAATTTTAACAAGCTTGGCCATTATGGCTATACCACTAATTTATCTTACAGTGTTTTCAAAACTTGTTAGCTTTTAAATTTTTTCCTTGACCATTTAAAAACAAACCAATCCTACTAGCTCACACTCATTTTACTTCTCATCCATTGCTTTCTGTTATAACATTTTAATGCCTTTCACTTTTTTGAGGTGTTTCTTACAGTGTGATGTAATTGAGCCATAACACCAACTACATTATTTTTTCGGAACTGGTTGACCCACTCTCTGATGTCTGGATGCTTTCTTGGCTCCCCTAGGTATTGTACAAAGAGAATATGAGAAAAGCAACTCCGACACCTGTTACTCCAGAGATGGAGAGAGCTAAGCGCAACCAAGAAAACATTAGCTCGGTATTTTCTAGGACTAAAATGGAGTAGTGCAACAACTTGTAAAATAACATTTTAACATGATGAAAACATGCCTTTCTCATTCAACTGAAAAACCACACTAAAATTTAAAGAGATAAATGCAACATCTTGGAAAATAACATTTTAACACCCATAAAAATGTGCAGTTCTTCCCTTGAAAATCTACACTAAAATTAACACAACTGTGCTTTTCAATTCCAAACAACCATACTAAACATAACTGCCAATGGTTTTCCTTCTTTTTGGGGTACTTTTTCATAACCAACATTGAGGTAGTTTTTCATAACCAACTATAACAAACTGATACTCTTACCTCTGCAGTTTTCTGCTCTCCACTACTTTTAAAGTATTTTATGAAATGGGTATTACTCAGAAATAGACATCTTCTTTGGTTTTGAAATATTGAGGTTTTATCTCTAGGGGACTTTTATTTCTGTGTTCGCATATTGGTTTGTGAAATGTGGACATTATCCCTTTTAAGGGATGGATCTTTCAGATTCCTTTTATTGTCAGATTTACTGACAGTACCACAGAATATGCTGGTGCTGATGCATCAATTCCTAACAAACTCAAGAGCCTACGTCCCCCCTGTCCAAAGTTATACTGTGTCTTTTCCCCTTCACCTTTGAAAATGAGTGTTTCATTTTCAAAGGCAAACAAATTCTTTGTCTTCTGATATGAGACCTACCTGTCCTCACGCAGTAATCTCGGTCCACTGTTAGTTCCACGTTTTGCTGGGTCCTGTCAGATGACTCGAGCTTCCCTCCCCAGCTTCTTCCATCTCCATCTCTGAAAAGGCTTTGAGGTTTAAGAATGAAGCCAGCCAGCCCTATGACCTATACTCATCTATGACCTCTCCTCCATAGGTTCTTTACTCTGACAGCTTCCGGAAACAAATACAAGGCAAAGCTGCTTATGTTTTGGATACCCCAGAGATGAGACGGGTGAGGGAAACCCAGAGGCACATCTCAACGGTGAGTCAGTGATTCCTCAGGGTTTACCGGTGGCCTGTTGGAAAATGAAAAAAAAGACAACAAGATGATCTCAGACAATATTTTAATAAAGCAACTTTTTATGGTATTTCAGGTGAAATATCATGAAGACTTTGAGAAACACAAGGGTTGCTTCACACCAGTGGTGACAGATCCTATTACTGAACGAGTAAAGAAGAATACACAGGACTTCAGTGACATTAACTACCGAGGAATTCAGAGGAAAGTGGTAGAAATGGAACAGAAACGGAATGATCAAGACCATGAGACCATTACAGGTAGTTAAAAACAAAAGTAAAATAACTATACCTAATTAAAGTACAAAGGACCCCAATCTGGTGATTCTTGGCGGTACCGGGCTTTGAACTCAGGGCCTTGCACTTGTCAGGTGGGCTCTCTGCTAACTCGGCCATGGCTCCAACCCTTTGTAGTCACTTTATTAATAAGGGCTTTTTTTCCCTATAATCTTCCTATTTACACTACCTATATAGCTTAGATAATGGTTTGCACCACTATCCCCAGCTTTTTTTTAAATGTTTTTTTAATTGTAAAAATATGGTGGGGGGGAGATGGGAAGGGATGGGAAGGGGAAACAAAGGAGGAGGCAAAACTGCTTGATAAGAAATGTACTCATTATCTTGCCCATGTAATTGTAACCCCTCTATACGGTATTTTCACTTTTAAAAAAAGTGTACAGAGGGGTTACAGTTACATGAGTAAGGTAATGGGTACATTTCCTGTCGAGCATTGTTAACATCTCCTTTGTTTTTCCCCTACCATCCCTTTCCTCCCCACCTTCTCTCTTCCCCCCTCCCCCACCCAGTTGTAATTTCTCTTGTATGTTCTTCCTCCCAGGTATAACCTGTTTTCACTGTATTTGACGTCAGTGCCCTGCATCTTGTATATACATTTTTCTAATTTGGGAACTGAAACCCAGCTTTTCACTGACTTAGATGTGGTCTTCTAAATTTTGGCTCTGGTCACCAGATCTCAGCCACCTACTTAGCTACGCAATCTGTCTTCATGAGATGTTATAGTAAAGTCCCTATCACCTCCTTGTGCAAAGCTGAGGTTTCTGCCTTTCTTTGTTCCCTTAAGATAAACAAGAATGATTCAGTCCTCCTGCTCTTTATGTTCATGGCTGAAAGGGTGTAAGAGTACCCATTTTGATCACTGGTTTTCCTTGCAGGTTTACGTGTCTGGAGAACCAATCCTGGCTCCGTTTTTGACTATGACCCAGCAGAAGACAATATTCAGTCCCGAAGCTTACACATGATCAATGGTATGTTATGCCAAAAGAGGTTTACAACACAAACCTCACCATTTGGTGGGCTCAGTAACTTTTAGGCATTGAAGTTTCTCCCCTCTGGAGTTGTTAGCTTTCTGAACTACCCTTGGAGAATGGGTAAAGCTAGTCAAATTCAAGTTAGAAAAATGTTTTAGTTCATTGACTCAGTCGTATCTCCTTCGGAGACATCATTATCATCTGTAGTTTTTTTGTAAATTAAGAAAGATAGTAAAAGTTAGAAATAAATTCTTTTGCAGAGGGCAGATGATGAATTTTCCCTGTATGTCAAGAAAGATATTCATTCAGCAAAACAGTGCCACATCTTCATACTTGCTGTTCATGTTAAAAAGTAGAATCCATATTACCATTCCTTAAAAGATTAATATTCTAGTTCACTGATGAAAAGAGATCAGTAAATCCTGGTTATGCCTTGACATGCTTAATTTTAAAGGTCTGTCCATAATATATTGGCACCCAGAGTATTTAAATCAACCAGGAAGTTAGGAGTCCTTTCTGGAGATATTGAAAATGAATTCTAAATGTGATTAATATCTACTTCCGTAAGCCAGAAAAATGGTCAAGGTGGTAGGAAGAGTAGTTAGTTAAGGATAGATTCACAGATTTGAAATCTGACTGACATAAGACCTTTGGACATATATTTAAATTATTACCTATAAAATAAAAATGACAACTATACATCTGAAACATTATGGAAAACTACAGTTAGCAAAAAAAAAGAACCACAATTGTGATGCAATTATGATTATTACCTTAAAAATTCCAACTCTGCTATATGTTGCCCAGCCCAAGCTCAGCGCCGGAGCCGGGAGCAGTCTCGATCTGCCAGTGCACTGAGCATCAGCGGGGGCGAAGAGAAGTCTGAGCACTCAGAAGCTGCCAACCACCACCTTTCCACCTACAGTGATGGTGGAGTCTTCTTCTCTGCAACCTCAACAGGTACAAATGGATGCTGCTGCCAACCACCACAGCTAGACTGTGACTGTAAGAGTAGTAACCACTGTAAAACAGAAAAACCTTGTTCTCTTTTTCTAATAATCAAAGGCTAAAATGGAGGAAAGTTACATGTAGTTAGAGGATTCATGTTCATCTGCTTTTTAGATCTCTTAGAAAAGACATTAGCTAGTTCCTGGAGGCTCATGCCTATAATCCTAGCTACTCACGAAGCTGAGAGCTGAAAATCACAGTTCAAAGCTAGCCCAGGCAAGAAAGTCCATGAGACCCTTCTCTTCAGTTAACCATCAGAAAACCAAAGTGGAACTGTGGCTCAAAGTGGTAGATACAAGCCTTGAGCAAAAAAGCTCAGGGATAATGCCCAGACCCTGCGTTCAAGCCCCATGACTGCCCAAAATAAAATAGAAAAGACAATATTCAGCTGCTTAACAGATTCAATATCTAGCCCTGTTCTTTTTGTTTCCCCCCTCTCCTATGTGTAGCTTACAAACATGTAAAAACCACAGAGCTCCCCCAACAACGATCATCTTCAGTTGCTACTCAACAGACAACATTATCTTCTATACCATCTCACCCATCTACTGCTGGAGTAAGTGACAACCTGTTCAAATCACTTGTTTGTTGATTATGTATTAGTTCATGTATTCTGTTCTTTGCTTTCTTTCAAACAAGATATTGTATTTCAGAAAAATGCTTTTGTTACCAGAAAACTTTACTACAGGCTAGGAAGTTGGCTCGGTTGGCAGAGTGCTTGCCTCGCATGCATGAGGCCCTGGGTTCAATTCCTCAGCACCACATAAACAGAAAAAGCCGGAAGTGGCACTGTGGCTCAAGTGGTAGGGCGCTAGCCTTGAGCTGAAGAGCTGAGGGACAGTGCCCAGGCCCAGAATTCAGCCCCCACAACCGACAAAAAACAAAAACAAAAAAATCTCACTACAAAAACCCAAATTAAAAGCAAGCATTATTCAGTGACTGAGAGAGAGAGACAGAGATAGAGAGACCGAGAGGCAGAGAGACCGAGAGAGAGGCATAAACTTTGGCTCACAGATTTTACAAACTATCCCAAAACATTTACTGTGTAGGCTGGCAGCTTGAGCATGTAATTACTGTGAGTCTATGATCGGAAGGATTGTAGTTCAAGGACAGCTTGGGCAAAAGAGATTGTTAAGACCCATTCTCAGGAGAGAGTTGAATGTAGTAGTTGGTACTGGTGATATCCTACCTACAATGGGAGGCCTAAAACAGGCAGATGTCAGGCGAGGCACATATCTGGGCAGGAAGCAAAACCCCCTCTCAAAAGCTTCAGACATGGCTCAGAAACAAAGTACCTTCCTAGTCAGGGCCAGGCCCTGCATTCAAACTCCATTATCACACAGATACACTTACTGTGCTTGAAATCATATTTCAAAGATGTATATATATTTGTGTATGTATGTACACATGCATGGAAGCACATATATACATTTATATATAGTGAAAAAGTAAGCCAACTATGTTAACATTTCACAAGGCTTCATTAAAACTCACTTAAAAACTCAGTATCACTAAAGCATAATACTTTATAACTGAAAAGCATTTGTGTGAACATACTTGAATATAAAAAATAACTACATATTTAGACATTATATTTCAGTGTTATAAATTTGCCACTTCTCCTAAAAGAATAAAATTAGGTGGTTCTAATGAAATTCTCAAAGGGAATTTTTTAATTGGATATGTTAATCTTTTAATTTATTTGAAATAGATATGTCAGAATAGCAAAGCAAATTTTAATACATCATAAAATAGAGGATTATTTTAATCAAATATGGGTGGGGCACACAGTGGATACAAAAATACGTGAAATCCAGAAATAATCTTGAAAAGGAAGCTGAGGCAAGAGGATCATAAAGGCTAGCTGGACTACCACAGAAACGGCTTTTGTTGGAAAAAAAATCGGCAGGAAGTTCATGATCTTGAGATACATTAGTATCTACTTAACAAAAATAATGAAAATTACTCACCTGAAAGTGTATTTCAGTAACAGCTGTTCAAAGATCTAAACATAAAAAATAAGACTGTAAAAACATAGCCGAAAAAAAATTGGCTGATGAACTTGACCATTAAAAGAAGACTAACGGGGCTGGGAAGATGGCTTAGTGGTAGAGCGCTTGTCTTGCATGCCTGAGGCCCTAGGTTCGATTCCTCAGCACCACATAAGCAAAAAGAACAAAGCCGGAAGTGGTGCTGTGGCTCAAGTGGTAGAGCACTAGCCTTGAGCTGAAGAGCTGAGGGACAGTGCCCAGGCCCAGAGTTCAGGCCCCACAACCGGACCCAAAAACTAAAAAAGGAAAGAAAAGAAAAGAAGCCTAACTTCCTTTTTATTCTGTTACTTTATGTCTTTGGGAGTATAAGGGGAAGCACAGAAATGGAGGAACAAAGGGTGAACAAATAGAGCAACAGACAGTATGCTGAAAATGAACAATGAACTGTGCAACTTATTGGTAGGGATGGGAGGGAAAAACTGTGAGGAAGGGGTGACATTGTCAAAAAGTGAACTCTGGGCCTGGGCGCTGTCCCTCAGCTCTTCAGCTCAAGGCTAGTGCTCTACCACTAAGCCACAGCACCACTTCCGGTTTTTTCTGCTTATGTGGTGCCTCATACATGCAAGGCAAGCGCTCTACCATTGAGCCACCTTCCCAGCCCCAGAGTTCAGGCCCCATGACCAACAAAAAAAAAAAAGTACTCTTTACCTATGTAACTATAACTTCTCTGTATATCATCTTTAAAATAGCATCATCTTTAAAATACATAGGGGCCAGGCGCTCAGGAAGCTGAGATCTGAGCTCAAAGCCAACCCAGACAGTAAAAAGTCTGTTGAGACTATTCTCTCCAATTAACCACCAGAAAACTGGAATTGGCACTGTGGCTCAGAGTGGTAGAGCACTAGCCTACTAGCAAAAGAGCTCAGGGGTAACACCCAGGCCTTGAGTTTTTAAGCCTTATGATCACCACCACCAACAGCAAAATGGCCCCAAATGACTACTAATGCAAATGAAAACAAGTGTCATGCAAACATTATAGTAAGCTTTTGTCAAACTAATTGTACAAAGGGATATTGTGATATTTCTATATCTATCTATCTATATATCTATAGATAGATATAGATATATATATGTACTTGGATGAAATTCACCTCATCTATGACTCTTCCTTCATCCCTCTGGTCTCTCCTCACTTGTAACAATTTCAGTGAGTTTCATTACGCTATTTAATACAAAGTAGTTTATGTTATAAAATACAAATATCATTTGCAAGAGCACTTGCATCTTTCAGATCTTAGGGATTAATGATTAAAATATATGCACATATAAAAACTCCATTACACTGCCCATGTAATTGTAACCCCTCTGTACAGTATTTTCACAATAAAAAATAAAAAAAACTCCATTGCATAACTCGCATATGCTAAGAATCTTTAAAAACTGAATGATGTTGTGACTATTATGGGGGCTGGTACCAGCAAAGCCAATGAGGAGAAGATGAATATGAAAAATAAAACAATTAAACTGATTGTTTTAAGGAAGGCAGAAGGTGGATCTAGAAGAGTAATAGAGGGGGTGAAATTGATCACATTGTATCCATGCATGTATGGAAGAAGCCCCCTGAAACTAATAACGTTTCTCCAAAAATTATAATGCACATTCTAATGTTAAAGGAAAAGTGATTAGTAAAACTTCAGAAGAGAAGGAATGGTTAATTTATGATAATATTAAAACATGGAAATTTTCTGCAGCAGCAAAAATAAAAAAAATTATGGAAGAACTTGCAAGCTAGGACAAATCATTGTTATAGGCCAAGTGGAATCATTTATGCAGGGAAAGAGGGAAAATGAGTTAATATAAATGTGTGCATATTTCAGGATACAAGAAAAAAATTCATAGGTTACATTCCAAACAAACACTGCTATTAGGAATACACTACTTAACCATATTTACTGTTTGCCTCCAAAGTACCATGTATTTAAAACATGCTGGGCAGCTCTTAAAAACTTCCTACTGGCATGCTTACAAATCATCAAAACAAATAGGGATTCAGGTGGACCCATTGCAACAACGAGATGTATAAGACATTATGTGGAAAAACAAACTTCGCAACTTTGGTGTGGGGGGGGATAAGGGGGCGGGGAAACAGGGGAGATGGGAAGGGATGGGAAGGGGAAACACAGGAGGAGGCAACAATGCTTGATAAAAAATGTACTCATTACCTTGCTCATGTAATTGTAACCCCTTTGTACGGTATTTTCACAATAAAAAGGATAAAAATATGAGAATAAAAATATTAAAAAAGAGATGGATGTGGATGGCACATAAACCTAAGTAACATAATTCCTTATATTTAGTGAGGAATATAGAAACATTGTAATAATATATGCTATAATAAACTCTAGATACATTCAAAGGGAAAGATGCTAAAGACAAAGTGAGCATGCTAAAAAATATTTCAAAACACTTATCCTTAGCTCCAAGGAATTAACATGGCAGCAGCAGACTGAGGCTGGATAGTTTCTGGCAGAGGTCTCTTGTGTATGTGTTTATAGCAGTCTTTGTGAGCCTAAGACTGCTTTCCCCAAAACCTTTTGCGTTTTAGTGACCCTATTTTGATTCTGACGACTTTTACACAACGTGTTTTACTAAGGCATTTAAAGTTCGTTTCTAAAAACACACGATTGACTGCCTAAAAAGGGAGACCAAGGCCAGAACCAAGTAGGTAAAAACACAATTTTATGAGCTTATAATTAACAGAGCATTCAAAATAGAATATAAAATTTTTATTTTTACAAAGTTGTAATGACTAGTACTGTTATCCCCAGCACATAAGTTACACTCCTCCTCGGTGTACACAGACCAGAGTAGATAATGTAATGGCCAAATTGTCTTCCTAAGAGGCTGTGCCATTTCATCTTCACATCCGCTGTTTGCTGGTTAGTTATCACCATTTTCCTCCTGGTTTTGTATTTCCCTGATGGTCGAGGATGTGGGAAATCTTTTCTTCTGCTTGTTTATTGGTGTGTCTTCTCTAGAGAGATGTCTGCACGTATCCTTTGTTTGATGAGTTGGAAGTTCTAATATATTCCTGATGTTAATTCCTTTGTAGATTTCTAATACTGAGTTTTTACTTTCTTGGTGAATGTTAGCATACTTTTGTGTGACTTAAATGTAGATAGCCATTTTTTTAAGTTGTAAACTGGATTTTAATAATTTGAATAACCAATTGTTCTATTTTTTAACTCCCAAACTAGAAAATCTTCCGCGCCATCTATGACTACATGGCTGCAGACGCAGATGAGGTATCCTTCAAAGATGGAGATGCTATTGTAAACGTTCAAGCTATTGATGAAGGCTGGATGTATGGCACAGTGCAGAGGACTGGCAGAACTGGCATGCTCCCAGCCAACTATGTGGAAGCTATTTAGGCACGTGTGGATACAGTATCTGCAATTCCTGCAGCCAACATTTCACTTTAGACTCCATTGTTACCCAAGCTCCGAACTGCCTGATGGTTTTTTGTGTCAGTACAAGGGTTGGCCACAGCATACCTTAATGTGTTCCTACACAAACTCGTGTGTTTTAGTATTCTCCATTAAAACAAATGTTAGTAAACTTAAACCTATGAAAGTTACTTTTAAAAAATTAACCATGCTCAAACTGCCTTTGGGATTTGAAGTATGCTGAACTTCAAAATGAAATCTTCTAAGGAAGCTTCTTCAATGTTATACAGTATTACTATATTGACTCACTTTCCCAATTACAAAACATACCTTCTTCCTTGCTTACTACTAAATGTTAGTGTTTGATCTAGTTTGGAATTATTCACAAACTGATAACTAATAAAATCTTTAATTCTGCAACCAACTATGATGGAATGAATTTTTTAATGGATTTTACAAATTCCTTACAATTTAACTAAATTAAAAGTGCACTACCTTAGACATTCTCAAAACTATCCAAACTTGTGGATTAATGATGAAAGCATGGAAAAAGGTCTTCCAAGAAAATAGACCGAGGGGCCTGGGAAGGTGGTTCAGTGGTAAAGTACTTGCCTTGCATGCATGAGGCCCTGGGTTCGAGTCCTCAGCACCCTCATAAGCAGAAAAAGCTGGAAGTGGTGCTGTGACTCAAGTGGTAGAGTGCTAGCCTTGAACTGAAGAACTGAGGAACAGCACCCAGGCCCAGAGTTCAAGCCCCACGACTGACCCAAAAAAAGAAAAGGAAAGAAAATAGATCCTGTAAACAAGTAGGAATAGCCACACATATCTGACAAAATAGACTTCAAACTAAAATTCATCAGATAAGGGAATAATCCATGAAGTGGTTATAGTTAACACATCTGTATCATAAGTGCTAACAGATCTTATAAGTGCTAATAAACCCCAACGCAATTGTGGGAGACTTCAATATCCCTCATAGGTCATCCAAAACAAAGCAACATAGACTTTTAACACCTATAGAGAATTTTATCCAATAGTTGCTTTATGTCTTAGGATATGATCTATTTTGGGGAAAAATGTATATTGTGTAAGACCTAGCAAACACAAAAGAACTGAAATAACTGTATTCTTAAGAGTTCAACAGCAAAACATATTACAGAAAACATTTAAAACATTGCTAAATGACATGTGGGTCAATGAAAAACAAAGGCAGAAATCAGTAACTCCCCTAATTTAATGAAAATGAAAGCATATCCTGTCACAAATTTGGAACACAGCAAAAGAAGTACTAAAAGAAAGCCTATAGCCATAAGTACCAACATAGAAACAACAACAACAAAAAGAGTGTATACTCAATGGCCTTATGATGCACCTCTAATTTCTAAAAAAAATAATAAAGATTAGGGCGGAAATTAATGAAACCAAGAGTTTAAAAAAAAAAGAAACAAAGATTTGGTTCCTTGAATAAAATAAGAGATTCAAATTAATAAAATCCAAAGCATCACAAGGAATATTTAAATATGCAAACAGGAAAATCTAAAAGAAATGGATTTTTTTTTCTTTTTGTCAGTCGTGGGGCCTAAACTCTGGGCCTGGGTGCTGTCCCTCAGCTCTTCAGCTCAAGGCTAGCACTCTACCACTTGAGCCACAGCACTACTTCCAGATTTTTCTGTGCTGAGGAATCGAACCCAGGACCTTATGCATGTGAGCCAAGCACTCTACCACTGAGCCACCTTTCCAGCCCAGAAATGGACAAATTTTTAAGATACAGTGACACACCAAAATTGAACCAAGAAATTATCAATAACCTAAATCGGCTATGAGAGGCAATGAAATTGAAGCAGTAATGTCTCCCATCAAAGAAAAGTTCAGGGCCAGGAAGACTGCCAAATTCTACCATATCTTCAAAAAGAACACTAAATACTCTTCAAACTCTTCATCAATTAGGAAAGGAACACTACTAAACTCATCCTAAGGTTCCAAAACCAGATAGAGATAAAAAAGAATTACAGATCAATTTGATGAACACTGATGCAAGAATTCCAAATAAAAGCATGGCAAACTGAATGTGACACATTGTAAGGATCATACCTGAACTAGTTGCTTTTCCTCCTAATGATAGTTCAACAGAAATCAATAGAAGTAATATGTCAAGCCAGTTCTAATGGCTCACACCTGTAATCCTACCTACTCAGGAGGCTGAGATCTGAGGATCATAGTTAAAAGCCAGACCAGGCAAGAAAGTCTGTGAGACTCTCATCTCCAATAAACTACTCAGAAAAGCTGAAAGTGAGACTGTGGCTCAAGCTAAAGCAGCTCAGGGACAGCACCCAGGACCAGAGTTCAAGTCTTAGGACTGGCAAATAAAAAAAGTAATATGTCATATAAACTCAAGAACAAAACTCATGTGGATCATGTCAATATATAAAATACCTTTGACAGAATTCAACATTAACTTATGATAAAAGTTTTGAAGAGGACTGGGAAGGTGGCTCAGTGGTAGAGTGCTTGCCTTGCATGCATGAGGCCCTGCGTTCGATTCCTCAGCAACACATATGCAGAAAAAGCCAGACATGGCGCTGTGGCTCAAGTGGTAAAGTGCTAGCTTTGAGCTGAAGGGCTGAGGGACAGCACCCAGGCCCAGAGTTCAGGCCCCACGACTGACCAAAAAAAAAAAAAAAAGTTTTGAAGAAACTTAAAAAAAGAATGTACCTAAACTTAATACTGACAAACCCACAGCCATCATATTAAATGGGAAATCCAGAATTTCTCTTAAACATTGCAATTTCATATATTCTCCTCTGCATCAAATTCTTTTATAAACACTTAAAATCCAAAATCCAAAATCAGGTGGCAAGATGTAGTTTGGTGATCCCTGTTCCACTAACTACTTCGGGAACTGAACACTGCCATACTCATTTCTATATTCAAAATGGACAATCCTAATTCCACTTTCTTTACAAAAAATTCCATTCTATAAAAATAAAATGCTTTGATACTATTCAATTGTGTTAGGATGTTCCATTTTAGTTCCATGATACTTTATTTTAAAGGTGAACTTCCTAGTTATAAACTTTTCATTTAAGAAAGCTGAAACCAGGCACCAGTGGTTCATACCTGCAATCCTAGCTACACAGAAGGCTGAGATCAGAGAAACAATTCAAAGCTAGGCCAGGCAGGGAAGTCTCTGAGACTATCTGCACGGAACTACCAAAAAAATAAAAATAAAAAAATAAAAAAAGCCATAGTGTAGTTGTGGCTCAAGAGGTTTAAGACTGGCCTTGAGCAAAAGCTCAAGGGACAGTGCCTAGGACCTGAATTCAAGCCCCATGATCAGCATCAAAAAAACAAAACTTCAGTGAACTGGATATAGTGATGTATTATCTGTCATTCTAGTAATTGTAATAATTCTAGCCTAACACAGGTAGATTGTGCCCTGCCACAGTGCTAGTCTGGAAGCAAAACTCTCAATAAGCTGGAGAGGTGGCCCAGCAGTAGGAATGCCTGCTTAGCAAGTAGTCACAGTCCAGAAAATAGTTACTTCAAAAAAGTTGTCATTTGCCGGAAACTATCACTGAGAGAATGGAAGCATGGCTCCAGTGCCCACTAGGTACAGTCCCTTAAATTCTTTTTTTGGGGGGGGGGGTAGTTCTGGTCATGGGGCCTGAACTCTGGGCCTGGGTGCTGTCCCTCAGCTCTTCAGCTCAAGGCGAGCACTCTACCACTTGAGCCACAGGGCCACTTCCGGCTTTTTTCTTTTTGCTTATGTGGTGCTGAGGAATCCAACCCAGGGCCTCGGGCATGCAAGGCAAGCGCTCTACCACTGAGTCACCTTCCCAGCCCACTCCCTTAAATTCTTAATCCAGAAGATTAAGGGAAGATACTAGTTAAAAGGTAGAACACTAAATATAAACAATCACTTTGAGGCCGGGCACTGGTGGCTCACGCCTGTAATCCTAGCTACTCAGGAGGCTGAGATCTGAGAATCATGGTTCAAAGCCAGCCCAGGCAGGAGAGACCTTGAGACTCCTATCTCCAATAAACTACCAGAAAACCGGAAGTGGCGCTGTAGCTCAAGTGGTAGAGCGCTGTAGCTCAAGTGGTAGAGCGCTAGCCTTGAGCTGAAGAGCTGAGGGACAGCGGCCAGGCCCAGAGTTCAAGCCCCATGACCGACAAAAAAACAAACAAACAGTCACTTTGGGTGTATATGAACAATTACAGCACAGTTCTTAGGGAATACTGTCAGAACTATTTTCAAAATATTTAAGATGTATCCTGATATAACATGGCTTGTTTACTATTAAATTTTCAGCTTTATGTTCCCTTCCTTCTCTGTTTGGCTGATTGGGACACAGGGTCTGACTAAGCATGGTGGTACATGCTTGTAATCTCACAATGAGGAGGTTAAGCAAGATGAGATCAGCCTGGTGAAATCTTAAGAACACAAGAGAATTTGATTCTCCTGCCTCAGTCTCTATAGAGCAGATCTCAGGAATACATCATCATGCCCACCCAGTTAGGCTTAATGTTATTTCCACAAGCACAAATTAGAAAAGATAATATTCACAAAGAATACAAAAGTTGCAGTGTTTTTCTTTCCATTGACATAAAGTGAAAATACTGTCTTCAAATAACTTCGTAGTGTCATCTAATTCTAAGGGTATTTTATTCAAAGTGTCATTTATTCTAAGGGCATTTTCCAGGGAAATAAGCATTTACAGCGTAGTATGTCATATTGGGTTTCATTAGTCTTTAGACAAGGCTTAGTCTGTGAAGAAAAAATGGCTAAGACTCATTAAGTGAGTGAACTCTTGCAATTATTAAACGTTACTAAGATTTGGCAGACCTTCAAACCTTAAGGACTTAAGAACTTTAATGATATTTTCACAAAGATGCAAAGCATGATACATAATAGACATCTACCATTAACTGTGCCATAAGAAACCACAGAATCAGGACTGGAGACAAGGGAGAATGTTCCCCAAGGAGGTGGCCCAGAGTTTAGTCCTTAGTATCACAAAGAAAAATGGGAAGGAAAAAAAATCCTCCAATAAATTCTAACAATTTGACTCATGACTTGATTTTTGGCTACATTCTCTTAAGTACTTTAAATACCTTTTTTTTAAAAAACAAAGAGTATTTAAATGAAGGAAATATGACAACAGAAACCCAAAAACATTCACTTTACTCAATTCTTTCAAATTTCACATTACAGTGAAAGACTTTTTTTTAATGGGGGTGGGAGGTGTTGTTGTGGGCTTGAACTCCAAGCTTGGGCCTTGCCCTGGAGCTTTTGGCTCAAGAATAGCATTCTACAACTTTGAGCCATA